TGATACGACAGTAAAGATAAAAACTTTTGTAATATATTAAATAAATAACACAGCGCAGAAAAATTCCAATATTCTCACTGCTAAAAATAGAAGAAAAAACAGATAAAAAAAAAAAAAGACTTACTACCTTTCTTTTTCCAGTCTTTTACTCTCAGCAGGAAAGTAGCTATTTCTGTCATACACATTAACAGAAATAGATATTCAGGTATTCAGAATGCTGGCTTAATAGAATTTATTTTGTTATTAGACTGGGGGCACATGGAGATTTGATGTCACATCCCTTCCTTACAATGCAGTCAGAATGCATTTGGGTAGTATCCATGAAGTCGTAGGAATGATTGTGATAATATTTTGCTTTTAAGGAACTTCATCGGGGCTCCTGCCTTAGCAATGCCTCTGATTGGTGCAAACATTAAAATAATTTGCTCCGAATCAGACTTTTAATCAGACAATTAAAATGGCTTCCATTAAACTCCATGAGGAGTTAACACAATATGAATTACTTATATTTCTGTAAGGTCTTCAAATATTTACTGTAATCCCTTTAGTACTACTATAAATGAGTATGACAAAAAAACCCAAAAAAAAAGCCTTTGACTGCAGTCTTCCATTGCTTGACCAATAAACATTTTTCCCATTCTGTGACATTATAGGAAACACCTGACCAACACAAGAATGTTATTGTTGCATGCATGTCGTACCAGTTATAAATATCAGTAATAAATAAATAAATAAATAACTAACTAAAGCGATATATGCATGGGATCTCCCAAGGAAAGAGTGGCACAACAGTTGGACACACTGATATTAGCTAGTTGGGATAGTTCTCAGCATGTAGTGTGTCCAGAATGCAATTAGCCTCATGGACCACATTCCTACCCACAAAGCTGCATGTCATTCCAGTGCGCATGCATGCCAAGATGACAGGCTGCTGGGTTGGGCAGTCGCGCAAGTCTGCCCATACACCAAGCATTGCTTGAGCACTCGTAGTTACTTTATTACCTTCTCTATTGAATTAAGGTGCTAAAGACAGCATTTGCTGTAAACGTTATAGTACCCAACAGGAAGCAACTACAATTTCATAACCCATGGATCCAAACTATGCAGAGATGTATGCAATAGGCATAAAATAGCCACTGAAAACAATTAGATGACCAGGATTGGAAAACACCATCAATCTGCAGCGGTAACGGTCTATTTTTATTTTTTACTTTTAAATGCATTCTGTATTTACAAAGAAAAAGGATGTTGAAAATATCCAACATCCCTGTCTCTACAAATTCTTTTCAGCAACACTGGAGTGACTAATAAATCAATGCTTAAATAACTAGTTTGGGAAGCAGAACAAACAAGCCAATACCTTAAATAAAAATATAAATAAATAAACAAGGGAAAAAACATTAATGTCATCAACAGTTCAGTGGAGAATTACTCACTGATGTCACAAGAATAGAAAACAGGCAGAACCGCTTCTGATCTCCCTTTTCCATTGATCCAGTTCCTGCCCCTGCTGGGTGAACTATTTAAAAATGCTTTAATTCTTCGAAAAAGTCAATAGGAAAAATGGTTTTATCTTTCACGACTCTGAATGCCATTATCTACCATACATTTAGATCTGAGCTACACAGTCTACATGTCAAACACGAGAACAATGTCATCCTTTGTTTTTTGGTTTTTAATGTAATTTTACAAATCCTTTATTTATGATGGTCAAAACACTTCCAGCCAAAAAATCTTTACTGTGATATCCCCTTATCATGGTTTTACAATAAACAGAAGAACAATTTATTGCGTTGAATGTGGCACATTTAAATTATGCCGGGTCATAAAGTATTTCATTGCTAAATATGTCAAAAAGATACATACATTTATTTTTAATGTAAAAGTAAAGATAAACCGATCATCAATTCTCCTGATTATTAGAGCTGATATTCGGCATATTTCTCATAATCAATATCGGTCTTGTAATTTATCAATATTAAAGATAACTTTCAATTTTCAATTCTTTCAGTCACTGCATGCAGTCTTCCGCATGCGGAAACTGCAGCCGCGAGCCAATGAGGTGCTATGTTTCGACCTCGCATAGCTCCTCCCTGTGAGTCCCTGCATGCGGAGACTATTCAGTTGAAAGCACCACTCATTCCACAAGTTACTTACAATAAGAGGTAGCTTTTAGAACACTAGCATGTGGTATAAGAGGCTGTGTACAAAGACATAGCATATCAAACCATTTGGGTAGGAAATGTGTAAACACTTAAACAAACCAGAACAAACTTAAAACATATGAGGAGTAGAGAATCATTCAGAAGAATTCATGCAAAAGAACAATATACAACGTGTGACCAGACATTGCTACAACATTCTCTACCCACAATCTGTAAGAAGACATCATATGCCAACCATCTCTATGCAAAAGGAAAGCATGAGTCAGTATACCAGAACCCCAGGTTGTGTGTGGGGGTGTTTTTTAATTGGAAATCTGGAGAAAGTCAACCCACGGCCACTTTTTCTGGTTTTCTTCTTACTGGGGCGGACGGTCACCTAAACCGTGACTAGGACACTATAGTGCTAGGAATGCACATTTAAATTCCTTACGCTATAGTGTTCCTTGAAGAGATATAGTGTAACTTTTGACGGTTTCCAACACAACTCAAATTGAGCAAAATATATAAAGAAAAGCACACTGCACGATAATATCATGCGGTGTAGAGATGACCATAACCACTACAGTTTTATATTTTTCATTTTCTAATGTGTGTGTAATTTTTAGCTTCATTTGTGGAGCCCAGGCACCACTTCCTGCAAACCTGTTACACGGAGAAGCTCTGCTTCCCATGTTAGTACTTTTGCAGAGTATGCATGAACTTGTGAATGCATACAGCAATATTCTCTGCCTGGATTCACAGCATGGATCTTAAACCTGAAGATTGGTCTTGCTTGCCCATATGATGTTGGTAATGATGCGGGTGATGTTTGGACACCAGATATTATGCCAGTTATAATTATATTATAAAAATGAAACATTTTCCTTTTTGACATGTATCAATACGTTGCAGCTCGTGGACCTGCGTGTCCATAACTTGCATGTAAATTCTGTCATGTATATAATAACCTCTCATTCCTCAATAAAAGCTTTAATTAAAAAAAAAAAAAAAAAAGGAAACATCTCATTAAATAAGAGAAACAGTAATATGATATTCTATGTATTTCATTTGAGATTTCGAAAAATTATTAAATAAATTATAATAATCACAAAATAAACGCACCTCTCATTTTTCTCCAGAAGACTAAATTTCACTTCATCTATTGTTTTCCCACCAGCCTTTTTCTTCTTTTCTCTCTTCTTCTTACTAAGAAGTTCATCCTTAAAATTAAATAGAAACATAATCCATTACTTATTTTCAAATATTAAAAGGATGTGTGTGTAAAAAAAATAAAATACAAAAAAACGCATTTATAATTAAACAGTTAGGAAATGACATTTAATGGTATTCAGAATCTAAAGCTGTAGGGTTTTATTCGCTAAGTAGTGAATTGTGATCAATTAAAAAAACAAACTGCAAAATTCAGGTGTAACTATTGCAAAGTTGGATATATTTGTTTAACCCCTTAAGGACACACGACATGTGTGACACGTAATGGTTCCCTTTTATTACAGAAGTTTGGTCCTTAAGGGGTTAATGGACAGTTAATTTTCGCTTAAATATGAGATTCTGGTTTTCAGTTTACTACAAAGAACTGTTTAGTGTATAAAGCCCTAAGTACTTACACAATATTAGAATTTGCAAATGTTGTAAACTACAAAAAATATTCTTTGACACTAATGACAGGGACTGAGAATAAGCAGACATAGGTTTTATACAGAATTAAGGTACTCCCTTCAACAAGCAGCACAGATGGCTGTAACGGAGCATGTAACAAAGTGTGTGGTCCTGATCGGCATTCTAATATTAAGACTGTTAATAAGGTAGAAAGCTTTACCCTATATTTGTGTTACCATTTAAGGCCCATATTTAATAGCCTAACCATAGCTCTGATACGTAAAGTACTTTATTGAAGCAATGAAGAGTAGACTTGCGCAAGAATGTATTCAGATAGGTTCGTCTGAATCAAATGCTTTTAAATCCATATCCAGACAAATTGATCAGTCCGGGATTTACCTGTGGAGTCATACTCATTAAATAAGAAAATAATACTCCGCAGGTAAATCTCAGGTGAAATTAATCATTTGATTTGGATGAACCCATCCAAATGAAATTTTGTTTTCACAAACAGGATTTTGGGAGTCATTAAAATTAAATAAAAATATTACAACACAGAGGGAATATATTGCACGGTTTAAAATGATAGTTGATGTTTTCAGCTTATTAAGGCATCTGCTGGCACCTGTTATTTTTAGGACAAATATTGCGAGCAAAAATTCCTGACCAGTAAATCTGGGCACCAGAGGGGTGAGCAACAATGTACACAAAGCCTTTTTTTTTTCCTTTTTTTTTTTTTTTAATCTCAGAAAAATCCTATTGGATGTGGAAATAAATAAAATACTAATAATACGGTGTGTCATGATTATAATAAAAAAAAATAAAAAAAAATCTTTTACATTTCCAATAATACTGATTTCCAATAATACACTGATATAAAGCTTTCCTTATCCCACTGTTTTAATTCCTTATATTTTGTGAATACGCACCAGCTGCTTCTCCAGGTAGATAGACCAAACCACAGCATAATGGCCCACTGTGAATATAATGAACAAGAGCAATGCTAGCTCCGCATTGCTCATCTTCCTCACCCGCCTGTAATAGAACACAGGCTGTCTCCAATCTGGGAGGCCATTAACAAGGACATCGTCATACCTAAAGCAACAGAAAGATTGACAGGTTTCACAAACAATACAGAAAAATGTTAATCAAAATCACTTAATACAAATATATTCACCCATCCTTCTGCTCATTCTCACATTATCCTTGTTCTCATATGCTACACCCAACACACGAAAATAGGGTGTTGTGTGTGTGTGTGTGTATATATATATATATATATATATATATATATATATACACACACACACACACACACACACACACACACACACACACCTGTCAATATATCACAAATGTAATATTTTATACAGTGCAATTTCTACTTAAAAGTCAGAAGGCAAAAATGTGAAAGCAAATAAGGTTTGTTCTCATAACTAGCAACATTTTCTGCGTGTGGAGAGTAAATATAAAAATGGACTGTAACAGTGTTTTACAAAAGTATGTTCAATGCCTTTAAAGAGGCAATCTAAGCAGCCTATCCACTACAGCTTTACAGAGTATCCCTTTAAATAAGAGAAGTTTGACAAAGCAAGCAAACCTTGAACCTAGGTATGCATTAGAGAGCGTATAATTAAATTTAACATTACTATATTCATACTCCAATACTTTCTCCTTTGCTCTAACCACAGTCTTCAATGGACACAAAGCTCTCTGCTGTATATTACACATTTATCTCCTGTATAGGAGCCTACATGGCTCACAATATATAGTACAGCTGAATGGCAGACAGGGCACAGGGCATTTTTCAGGGTAAATTGCAAAGTGAAGTAGTTGCTAACAATGTCCTCTGGCATAGAAATGCTGTTTCTAGGAAGGCATTTATATTTACTGTATGCAGACATTTTGTCCATATTATACAGGTATAATATTAACCTGCAAATCCATTACAAATAAAGATATTCAGATTATATTTTGTAATTTAGAAAATTAGAGATATTTTAAAATATATATTTTAAAAGGTAACAAAATAAAGCATGTACACAAGTTCTGCGTACACTTAAAATTTAAGTATACATTTATATATTTCTAAATTAGCAAACTACACATGACATAGTGGTATTTCTCTATGATTATGTCCTAGTTGTACATACCATGTTTGAAATAACCAAAGTCTTCCATGTTTAAAACATGAGCACTTTTTTTTTTTTTTTAAACAAATATCAATATTGCGCGATCTGTAAAATGTTATATATACATATTAATGTTTTTACTATTGTTTTATCCGCTAAAATAATTTTATTTATTTAGTTTTTAAGAAGAGCAACAAGAAATTCTTTATTATTTGACAAGAAATGGCAGCAATCGCACGAGACTAAATAAAATATTATTTAGCTACTGATAAAGGATTCTCCACTGCATTATTTATACACATGCTTTGTTAAATCACTATAGGTTATTTACACAGAGCTTCTTCAGTTTAGCAGGCAGTATTTATAATCAGCAGCCATGGCCGCTATGACATAACATAACAGAGCCCAATTCAATGGAAAGGTCACTTCGAGATGGAGTAGAGATTTGAAACACAAAGGGAAAAGGGTGTTTCACCGCATGGTTTATTCTGATTTTCAAAATCATGTTGTTGAATTTTTTTTAAATTTTTTTTTTTTTTTACAAGAATGTAAGGTAAATGAAAGAAAATATGCCAACTCTTATATTTCCCATGCTGCTAAAAACTACCTTCATCTCAACTGACTGATACAGGAATTTAAAACGTACCACAACAAAAACCCTAGCTATATATTTTAGCATTTCTTTCAACACGTCAATGAAATAGGAAGTGTGAGCTAATACAATGGACATTATTGCTGCATTATCGTCTGTCTCAGCGGTAAAAGCATCTGAGCTTCATCTTTCGTTGCTATTCACATTCTGTTTGCAAATAGATCACCATTAGTTTTGTGACATTAGTATGCTCCGGTAGAATACATATATTATTATTTATATACATATAATATTAACGTGAACCTGTAATGATAGGTTGCCATTTAAGTGATAACATCATCTTATGCTTTGAACATATCATTTGTCACAGTGATAAAGGATATATTTTATTGCGTAAAGAGATGTTGATTAAAAAATATTCTCCTCTCCAGAGCCACCATCATGTAGGGTTTGTTTAACATTAATGTAACATCCATGCCTATGTGATGGGTCTCTACTCCCAAACCAGTAAGACTGCCAACATGGGGGAGTGGCTATCTATTTACATAACTTTATTGTCAAATCTATACATTTTGTTCTGGAGAATAATTTTTTCACATCTATTTATTTAAAAAAAAAAAAAATCTGTTACTCTCCTGCTTTGGGTCTATAAAATAAATAGTATAAATACACAAACACAAAATTTCCCTTCACAGCAAATGTGGCAAACAGCAGAGTTGATAAATTGCGTGTGCAACATATGCTGTGTAATTGACATTGGTGTATTTGTGGTCTAGATTTTAAAGGCCTCAGGTAGGTGAATAATGAATTGCTCTTTTTACGGGAGTGAAGAATATATTTTTATGTTAAAAGAACACTCCAGGCACCATAACCACTACGGTGCACTGTAGTGATTGTGGTGCCAGGAGACCCCATGTATAATCTGCCGGTATTAGTCAAACTGTTTACAAATGGTTTGACACTTACCTTGCTGTATCGGACACTCACAGTTCTTCAGGGCTGATTTGCTCTGATAAAGCAAAACTTTGTACAATACAGGTTTAGCCAGTATTTATTGGCTGATAGATGCCGGCTGCCACCATCAGCCCATGAATATCATTTAAATCTGTTAAAATTTGGTATGATAGTGCACACACTTTCTTTATCAGACCAACTTACACAGGAAGGAATGTTTGTGCCAACACAAAAATAAAATTCAAACCTTGGGACTCCTGGCACCATAATCACTACGGCATGCCATAGTGGTTATGGTATCTACAGTGTCTGTTTAACCCCTTAAGGCCACATGACATGTGTGACATGTCATGATTCCCTTTTATTCCAGAAGTTTGGGGTTAATAAACAATTCTACTAGCAGAATGTACAGATCAAATTCTATACACTTCCAGCACAGACTTGTTTGTAAGTAAGTTACTGGAGTAGCCTGTGTTATCATACAACGTTTATAATATTCTATTGTACAATATTGCAAAGGGCTGCCTAAGATGTAGGTGCTATATAAATTCTAATAATCAAGTGAGGCAGATGCGAAACAACACATTCTTATTGGACAAATAGGATTTTGGAATGACACTTTCAGCAGATGCTCCTTTTTATTGATTTTCCATGTTGTAGACTTAATGAAGTGAGCATCTCCCAAAAGCTTGTTATTCCATAATTCTTTTAATCCAATAAAAAATAGAATTGCACGATATTGCAGAACTCCATTATTTTGTATCAATAATAATAGTTATAATAATATCAAAATATTTAACCTTGACACATTCGGCACATGCTAGTTTTAAGACTGCAAACATCTAGTAGCTGCTGTTATTATAGAATAAACATTTTGCAGGAATGCAAAGAATATATTATGCATAGACATACGTCACGTTTCCCAAACTGCACAGCTATGAAATCAGTGTAACACACATACAAATTGTTTAGAAAATCATATCTATACTAGCACACACATTGTGATCTAATAAATATGATACAATTACGTGGCAATAAGAGGGGTTTAGGTCACGAGCACTTGGTGCGTTACAAACATGGAGTCACAATAAACAGAACCGTACCTACAAAGAGCACCCAGCCAATGGGAAAATAATATACTTTATTCCACCTGCCTGCTCCGCAGTCCCTGTACAGCGTAAACAAAACATCTTTGCAAAAACACTGTTGGACAATATTCAGACTTTAACAGTCACTATCTGCCCACAGAAAGGAGCCAAGTAGGGTAATAATTCCACTTTAATTGTGGTGTTTTAGATATACGGATATGAAACTATAGTGAAGATATTAATGAGAATATTTCTGATGAAGGACTAAACTTGCTTTTCGACAGCAACAACCAAAGCAGGATAACAGACTGCCAATAGAGAAATCTGAATTCTGCAGACAACAGTGTGATCAACATTTTTAAAGAACGTACAACCTGTTAACCTTAAATCGAGCTGCGCTCATTGGGAATTCTCCTCACACGCTTTCAAGAATTAAAATCGCCACTGAAAGGCCTAATTTGGTGCAACACATTGACCAAAATATTTTAATTAAAAATATTCTGAGTTAGTGGCAAGCCTAATTACAGGACTAGAAATAGGGCCTATATTGTCATGCAGGTCAGTAGGACTCCATAGTAGGGTTTTCTGAAGTAAATTGACCGATCCAGGAATAATAGCGCAGCTGCTGAACTGCCAGTCTTGACATGTAAATCAATTTAAATCCAACAAATGCAGTTGCTACTTCCATACTTATTATTAAATTGATACCTAGTGTTATTTGGGGTGGGCTGGGGGGTAGGGAGGAGAGAAATACACTGATTTACATATTTACATTTTAAATGGACTTAAGGTACGAAAGGGGAAGAGTAATTGCTGGTTATAAAATAAATACTTTGAGAAATAAAAGCAAAATAAGAAGAAAAAAAAACCCTTACAAATATAAAATGAATGTTTTAAAATCAAACAGTTAACCATTTAACTGCCAGAGAAGCCAAGACATCAATTTACTAAGCATTTTAACCCCCTCCCCCCCAATCTACTGACAGTTAATGTGGTATACATTTAATGCATTAGACGCTTAAAAGAGCACTTTACTCAACAATGTCTGCCGCTCTGAGCAACAGTCTCTAAGGATTAATCTTTTGAATCAATTCCCCATTGATTTTACTATCAATGGACATCATGGCTCACCCAACTGCCCATTTTAAAATATGATAGCTTCCATTATAACCCACTTTCTTCTATATAGGATAGTGGAAATGGGATCACTGCAACCACACCAAAAAAAAAAAAAAGAGAGAGAAAAATAATACATACAACTTTAATATTTTTACACACACACACACACACGTTATGATAGAAAGACAGAAGACAAAAAATATTTATTTATATAAATCAGAGTGAACTCAAACGCTAATTCCTCCGCTAAATAAACAAAGCTTACACTAACAAACGTTTCAGAACAGAAGAGGCATATATTATTTATTATTATTATTATATTATTTATATAGCGCCAACAAATTCCGTAGCGCTGTACAATGGGTGGACTAACAGACACATAATTGAGATCAGACCACTGACATACAGGAACAGAGGGGGTTGAGGGCCCTGCTCGATTAGCTAAAA